ATTTGAATTAACCGTGTACCGGTTAATTTTCAACCGACGCTGAGACTCCATTCCGGTGGCATGGGCAACACTCACCTCCTCCCGAAAAAAAGATGCAAATTTCTTTGACAGGAAACGATTTCACGAACCAGACAAGGTACAAAACTGAAAGTTTGCAAGGATGTTTTCTGTGCATGTGCGAGCTAAAGATTTCAAATTCATCTGTCAAGCACGTTTGTGCAGGGCGTGCGATCATATCAACATTTGTAACTTGGTACCGTGCTAACTCAAAAACTTGCCAGAAAACTGTGGCTGGAATTTTGTCAGCATGTTTGTCAGCAATAGTGTACTTAAAATGACTACCAATTTGCACTTGCGCCACGACTAAAGGCGCTTCAAAGACATTTGTAGCGAAGTGAATATCTCGCTTACTGGATAAGGTGCTAGAATGAAACTTCGCCGGGATATTCTACTTTCAAATCCGGTCTCAATTCTGCTTGGAGATGAAATTTCCTGCAGGTGGGCATGAGAAATACTCAACTTTACCCAAAAACTAGAAACGAGCGCGTTTTGCAGCGGAAGACCTCTCTCATCCAAATATCTAAATCAACATTCAGTTCATCTGTATACTTAGATTTTCTGACGAACGACCGTTCCAGCAACATTTTTAGTGAACTGAAGGTTTGCATTTTTCATTTTTCCAGGAAGCGAGCGTTTACCGAAAAAACGACCGAGTTTTATGCAAAAAACTGGTAAGCATGTACCTGGAGGTCCGTGCGGCCCTATAAAGCACCACGTTTATCCCAACCGACGCCCTTTCTCCTGCATGCCGGAAGGAGCTAAAGCACGGACAATGTGAGCCCAAGTATTAGGTTACAGCGCAGGGCTCATTCCTGCTATTAGCGACCTGCGAGTTTACTGCAAAAACACATGATCGCAACAGAAAGCCTTGGTGCGTTCCTAAAATGCCACCTATATTACACTGCAACTGCTAGTTGAAATTTTACCGTAGTATACCAGTCTCATCGACCGGACCATAGTCGTGAAAGCCGACCGATAACGTAAATGCCTGAACTGCCTGTTTCTTTTCGACTCCGGTGGATGGATTTGAGACTTCACAATTGTGGAAGGAAAAAAGATTACGGAAAGGTCCGCTCTTTTTCGTCTCCTTTTCAAGAGAGCCATTCGTTTGGGTAGGAAACCGAGAAATGTTTACTAAAGGAAGCGCATTATTTCACTGCCGCTCATAACTTAAGAAGCTTTGATCAGGGGCAAGGTCCCAGCTATCTAAGCAGGTAATAACACCAGAAAAGGAATATAATGAAAAAAGTAAACATGCAAAAACGTAAAAAAACCGGTCAAAACCAGAAACACTGATGTAGAAGGTACTCGCTGAAGCATTCTGGCATATTTCACTCTTTCCTGAAGTTTTGAAAAAAAAAAGAGGTTACATCAAATTATAGAATTTTGATGCCTCAACAAATCTCTAAGCATTGTTATGTGAAATTACCGATTTGCGTGAATTATAGCTTTGCCAATATTGCACGAAAACAAGCAATGCACTGAACTACCACAGTTACGAAAACACTACTGAAGAAAATGGCTCAAAGATGGAACGCACTAGACTTGCCGGTGTGATCATGCGTTTTTGCGCTAAAATTGCAGATAGCTAATAGCAGGGATGGTTCCTGCGCTGTATTTTAACACATGCACTCATTTTGGCTGTATTTTGGCCTTTTCCTGAATGCAGGAGGGAAGGCGTCGGCTGGGACGAAAGTGTTGATTAAGGGGTAAAGTACCTAGCCTCCTTCTGGAAGTGGCAACTCTTCTGATGGAATGCTGATGTTCCACATCAATAAAGGATACGAAAAATGCCCAAAGCATTGCCAGCAGACTTGTGTCGAGAGTACCTTTGAGTTGGTACCTTTTCAGTTATAAGCGGATTTCAGGACAGCCAACATGCTGACCAATAGATGAAACTGCATCAGTTAAAACAACTAGAAAACTTGTCAGGCGAAGAACCAGACTATGGACATACGGCTGATACAAGTAATCAAGTGTTTCGAAATGTGCGTATAATGCAAATTTTTGTCAGGCAAGCAAAGTGTGCTATGACTGCCAGTAATTTCAGAGTTTTAGCAGAAAATGATAAGAAATTTTTTGTAGTATGGTTGATGACCTGTGAATGACCTACTAAACACTTGTTATCAGTACAGCACCCACCAGCATAGATTATAATCAGTAACAAATATGTTTCGCGCATTGAAATTCAACGACCTTAAAATGGCAACGCCAGTCGCAGATAGCGACGTGAGTATTTTCACAAAACATTCTCACAAAATGAGCATCCTGACAAAACTGCAAATAACTTTCCCAGCACTAATAATTAGATCTACTTTAAAATTTGATTACTATGATAAATCAGATGTGGACGAGATAAACCCAAAACAGACAACAAACAGAGAAGTTGCTGATTGTGGCGAGAAGAAAAGCCAATCAAAGTATAACGGCAAGTTTCATCAGCCAGTACTTTCACTGCTTCTTCAGAGTTAAAGAAAATTTGCAACACACACGCCCAAACAAAACTCAACTAAAAAAAAGAAACGAACAAGAATAAATGGTCATGTCTCGAAGTCCTGTGCAATCTATTGTTTCTGGATACCATATTCAAAGTCAGAACCCATCCCCTCCCCCTTTCGCCCTCCTCCCTACCTGCCCCCCCTGCCCCCACTCACTCTCTGTGTGAGGAAGACACTCGAAAATGTTCCGAAGTTGGCAAGTGCCAACAGTAACCACCTCCTGGCAAGACTGCCGATCACTCTTTTTTTTGAGGATTACTTAGAAGCAATTTTATAGCGGGTTCCTAGAGTTCACTCAAAAAAAAGAAGGAAAGTTTTATGATTTTTCGAAGAAAAATCTGATACTTTAATTATGAGAAAAAGAGATGAGGAGCGATAGGAGGGGAAAGGGAAGGCGGACGGACGTGAAGGATTTGTTTCATTTTTCTTTCCGGGTCAATAGTGGTTGCATCTGCTGCATTCCTCTAACAATAGTTTCATGTGTTTTTTGCATGAATATGCATTAATGAGATTTCATTCATTCACATAAGGATGGAAGTGTTTGTGTATGTGTGTCCAGGTGTGTGGCTAAACAATTCAGCTGAAAAACTATGTAAGTTAGGATGTAGTGGCCTTAAACACTTTATTCGTCAGCACAGCCACAGTTAGCTTTCAGATCTTTCTGTTTAAAACCCAAAAGCCCTGTGCCCAAATCCAGTTTTATTCAAAAATTTAAGCGACGAAATTAAAATTTTGACGATTCAGTCAGCTGCACGGCAAAATTTCTGCATCACTCCGCTATGTCGAGCATTTTCTTCAAAAACAAACCCAAGGCAATTTTGTGAATTCAAGAAAGGCATATGAAAAATTGATTAAGGGATATTAGTTCTAGCAAGTCATTGTCAATTTTGTTTACGTTTTTTGTCAGAAGAGTGCTTCCACGGAGAAAAACGCAGACAGTTCCGATCATAAACTGCAAGAATCACCATTATGCGAACTGACTGAACGCAATAACAACTCACTAACATGGGATCCGCGCAGAGCCTGGCATAGCTGCGCCTAACATATGGGCCCAGTAACACCACTAGCCTAACCAATAAAAAAATGCATATTATAGCTGCAAACAAAATTTGAACACAAAAACCATACCACTCCCCATCTTTCGCGTAGAAGCTTGAAAAATATATGTTCACGGCAGCCATCTTTGCCAGGTAATAGCTGATGAAAGTATGACTGGCTCCATCGTGGATTATCACCTTTCAACCAAACACATGGACCCCAGGATGTCCACTGAGCACAATTTCCCGCTTGTACTGCGTTTCCAAACATCGCCGACAACTGTGCTTCTGAAACCTATCGAAATAAGGTGCGCTGTAACGCACAATCGCTGCATACTTCTGTTAAAAATCGAGATTTTTTAAACAGGAGACGTTGATAATAACCTGGTGGGTTTCATGCATCAGCGAATGGTACTCGCAATCAAAATTTTTGGAAGAGATGTTGCACATAACTTACTAGACATGTGACACTATACCAACAACTGGAGTTAAAAAGCTTATGACATATTATTCTAGACTTGCTGCTAATGGCAGGTCGCTGTATCACAGCACACGCTGTGAACAAGTTCATTTAACAGTTCCTGCAGCGCTTTTGTTGCTTCCTACGCAACGGACGCAAAGTCGTTTACAAAACTGAGCATTTCGAATATTTCACCACCTCCATTTATTGTTTCAGTTTTCGGCGAAACGTTTTCAAGCGTGTCGTTAAAGGTCTCCGGAGATCAGCTTTTGCCTTACTTCCTGTCTCTAACAATTCTTATTTCTACGGGCTCTTGAAAAGAGCAATTTCTGCATATGATCCAATGAGAGAATTCCAAATGATCCAGTGTACAATGGACCGATTCTTTGAGCTTACAAGCAATTTAAACAGCTTATTCGTCCTTCCTGCTCAAATACCTGCAGAGTGCTCACTTCGAATGAAGTCAGAAGCTAAAAGCAAATTCTCAAAAAAATTTATACAAATAACCTGCTGTACTCATGTGCACAATAAAAACGACAATCGATTCAAAAGTTTTCATTGTTGACACGTTGGAGATAAACGCAGAAGTGATAATGATGATGAATCACGATAACGATGACGACACAACAGTGGGTAACTTTTGCTTTAGGGAAGACACAGCAAAAATCTTGACAACAACCACTCTTCCTTCGTCAACGACGGCAACAACAATAACAACGTATGACGATGACAGCAGGAATAAGGAGGATAACGACAAAGGGGATGATGAAAAGTAAAGTAGTGGTATTGTGCTGAGGAGGATTGGGCCGGCGAGCTGCCGCATATCCATCATTCGCCAACCGGATCCACTTTGCACGTTTAATTACCTGACCAAACTACCAAAAAAAACCTGCATCGTACAGCTACTGGATACATTCTTGATGTGATACGAAACGAAGATAATGTGCGCATCAAATTGCCGCAATTTTTAAACTGCTTTATGGTTTCAGGACAAATTCTACACACTTCTATCCACTTTCGT